TAGAGTTAGTTTTATTAATAAAAGAGTATAAGTGGGTTTTATAAGCTTTAAAGATGAGCAAGAAAGGTTCCCAGTTTTATTTTAATCCGATTTCATTATGATCTGCCACATTTAATCAGTATCAAAAATGGAAGGCTTGGGAAATTAATTCTCGCCAGAATATTTTAAATTTAAATTAACAAATTTTTGCGCTACAGAATAACCCATCTAATATACAACGAATAGGAATAGTTAGATTTGGACTCCAATATTTTATGGATGTCTTGGAGAAGATCCAGAAGACTTCCTTAGAGATTTTCAGAAATATGTAGTAGCTAGTCGAATAAACGTAGCTCCTAAAGCGGACCAGATAGCCGGAAGAGAAGAGGCTTTAGGTTTATTAATATCATGTCTTAAAGATGATGCTAAAAGATGGTATAAAACCCGCATTAATGGTAAAAATTGGAAGTGTAATAATCTCTCAGACAATCTAGGTGTAGCAAACTTGAATGCAGTTTGTAGAATAGGTACTGGTAATCAAATTGGTGGTTTGAACACTGCAGGAAAATTTCGCAATGCATATGCTACAGAAATTGGCAGAATTGGAGCAGGAGTCACAACTGGTGCTGATATTATTCCAAATGGAACATGAAATAAAGACTGGTCTATAGCTGGTAGTGAACCTACAAATAATATGGTAGTAGCCTCGAATATGGCTAGTGGTTTTCCCGCTATTACAATTGCTTCTGGAATCAAACTTGGCCAGCTTATTTTCTTACTTAGAACTGCCTATACAACTGTCGAATATTTAAAACAAATAGCAGTTTTTGGTCAACTTATGCAAGGAAATATGGACATTGAAGAGTTCTCTGCTAAAATCAAAAAGGTTGGTAAAATAGCTAGAATGGCTCCCGAACAACAAAGAGAGCAATTCATTTATGGCTTAAATTCTATGAATTAGTATAATATTTGAATGATGGCTAAGTTTAATAATATGCAAGTTAATATTACAGAAGCCTTAGCCAAAGTAAAAAAATTTACATTATCTCAAAAGAGTGTACCATCATCTTTTCTAATTTTTCTGACAGCCAACCCTTATGCAGATACTAACAAATTAGAAATGACTAAAACTAAAATTATGGATTTGATAAAAACCACAATGGTATTCTCCGAGTCTCAAATGGCTCAACAAAATACTGATTTGTGGTCTACTATTAAATCTTTCCAAGAGACTATGTCTTGAGTGACTAAAACTCTAGATAATAGTAAAAAATCATCTAAGAAGAGAGCAGAAGATATTGGCATTAATCGCTTTTTGAGTGACTTACTAAGAAAAAATTCAGATAAACACCTGCTGATAAATATGATCATGATCCTATAGAAGATATTTCAGATAGTTTAGCAGGATTTATATTAAATAGTGTTATAAAAACTGCTGTTAGATGTGCTGTTAAGAAATCATCAGGTCACAAATACTTCACCTGTGGAAGATCTGAATATAATTCTCGAAACTGCTCTTGAAAGAAAAAAAAAAGTAGGAAGTCTAAAAAGGATAAAGTTAATCTCGCTACTGTAAATCCAGATTTAGGTTCAAGTTTTTCCTCCAATACTTCTTCTAGTGATAGTTCTAACTCTGATACAAGTTCAGAGAATTTCTCTGATTCTGGAAGTGATATCACCATTAACATAGCTAAGTCAAAAAAAAAAGTGAAGCAAGACTCTAGTTCCAAGAAATCGTCTCTTAAAAAGATATCTAAAACTTCTTTGAAGAAAACTATTCATAAAGTCCTCCAAAGTGGACTTAAATTAATTTTTCCTGATCATTTCTCCCAAGACTCTATTAAAGCTAATATACTGAATCAAGCATCTCTAATTCAGGAAAAGATAGAATCTCAAAGCAATACTTCTCCAATTACCAAGGTTGTATCACTAGATCCAGATGAGGAAGAAGATTTGGATAGTCCGATAGAGATTGATTTTGTTAAGAAAAAAGAGCTGAAAATAAGTGTTATAACTGTAAAGTGTAAAATCAAGCATTTAAAGATTCTAGCTATAATAGTTGACTCTGGGGCTAAGCCCCCTATTATAACAGAAAATATTGTTGAATATGTAGAGGCTAAAATTGATAAATCCAAAACACATAATCTTAGTAGTATTGCCACTGTTCTGGTTGAATCTGTTGGGGTTGTTTACAAATAACCTATTACTCTAGCCCCAGGCTGTACTATCTATGAAGATTTTATTGTTGTGAAATATCAGAAGCCGATGTTAATATTTTCTAATCAGCTTTTGAAAAAATACAATTGTGCATTGGATTGGAAAACCAATGAGCTAAAAATTCTTCTTAATGGAAAAGATTATATTATCCCA